ATTAATTGTTATTCAGAATTATTTTTTTGAAGTGAAACTTCTTGACGCGCGTTGGGAGTAAAAATTCAAGGCCGTGACACAACTTGATACTGTAGCAATCTTCATTTTCATTGGAGGACACTGACATATTTATTTCAAACCAATAATCAACGAGAATATTAGTATAATTTAATAAAATTACTGTCAATCACTATAAATAATGACTTGTTTGTAATTGAGCTTTAATTTCTGTATTATTAATCCGATAAATGATGGAGATAAACAATTGTGATTGATTAAAATTTTATTTTAAGATGAAACTTTTGTTAATAACATTCTAAAGATTGGAATAATGAATTGAATAATGACAAGACAAGTGACGTCTGTCTAAAAAAGACAGCGATCTAGAGTGACAATTTGGTTATATAAAATTGAGAGGGACAATTTTGATTATGCAAAAGAAATACATATTCTATGAGTTTAAGGATGCCTAACGATTAACATTAATTTAAAAATAAATCCCCAACATGAATAATGAACAAAACACTTAATTAAAAACAGACCACAGACTACACAAAACAAATTATTGGTTAGTAACAGTTAGTAGTAGTCAGGGATGTAGATGTAGTAGTATTTTGGTTTAATGGCCACAGCTATCCGACCGGGTGATAGAATTATCGTTTTTTAATAAAAATTAAAGACACATCATAAAATTATAAAGCTAGAAGAGTATACGGTTTTATATTAACTCTATTTTTTTGAAGCAATTATAAAAAAATAAATATCCTTCAAATCCTTCAATTTAATAGTTATTAGTAAGAAGTTTCACTTCATATCTGCACACATACCGGGTGTTGCATCGTCGGACGGGACATAGGAAATCCCATGTAAATTTTAATGGGGTCAATTATTGGCTTCCCTAATTATTTTAGAGAATAATTCTATTTAGGTTTATTGAAGAGCACTAAAACCCACATTGAAAAGAATAACTTTAGATATTTTTGATTAGCTCGTTTACGAGTTATCGCCGATTTCTTTTTAAATATTTCTCCTTTTTTATGGCCCTGTATTTACTTATCAGCACCAGTCAAGGTAAAAGATAACTGTCAAATGAAATTGTCATTTCAGAAATTTACCTATTTAATGCTTTATTATTATTGAAAACTCATTCCTACATCGGAAATTTTAAAGATGTATTATTGCACAATAAAACTTCCAAGTCGGTATCATTTCTTGCATCTTCTCTTTGTTGCTGCCTTGCTTCACATCTGCAGTTATTTATTAGGGTATCTTTGGTCTCAAATCGCTGGATATTCCTTGCGATTGTAGATTTTCCAGGTATCGGTCTATTCTGATACAGAGCAGCAAACATGTCCGACACCTTTTGATTTAATCATCAATACTTTTTCTTCGGTAGTGTAATTCATGGCTAATATTTTCGATGTAGGTATGAGTTTTTAATAATAATAATAAAGCACTAAATAGATAAATTTCTGAAATGACAATTTCATTTGACAGTTATCTTTTACCTTGACTGGTGCTCATAAGTAAATACAGGGCCATAAGAAAGGAGAAATATTTAAAAAGAAATCGGCGATAACTCGTAAACGGGCTAATCAAAAATATCTAAAAAAATATCTAAATTTGAATGTGGGTTTTAGTGCTCTTCAATAAACCTAAATAGAATTATTCTCTAAAATAATTAGGGAAGCCAATAATTAACCCCATTAAAATTTATATGGGATTTTCTATGTCCCGCTCGACGATGCAACACCCGGTATAGTGCACATACAATAATTTATTTATTTTGTATTAAACTACTTCGTTACTAATTCTGTTTCAAAGCATTCTAAATCGCTTTTCTACACAACAAATCGATTGAATTGGAAATAAATTTTCTTTTTCTAAAAGAAACAATTTCCAGTAATAATGGAGTGAAAATGACAAAGGGAGCTAACGCTACCAATTCCACTTTTTCGAACTTCCATTCAATGAAAAGTTCAAAGCTCGACAAAGAGTCGAAAGGAACAGACAAACAAGTGTATAGTGTTCTTTTTTCACCTTATTTTTAGTTTCGAAGAGCTGCAATAATTCACTAACAAAATAGAGATGGGTGAATTGTACAGAAATATTAGATACTAGCGTGTACCCGCGACTGAATTAATAATTTGTAATGGTGATGATAAAGCAAAGCAAGAATTTCCATTAGCATAAAAACTGGATAAAATTTTCTCACATTTATGTCAGCATGAGAAAAAACAATATGGCGATATTACTATATAACTTGGTAATATTTGAGGGGTAGTTTGATCTCGTTGGAATTTGACTTTCGAAAAATCCGTTTGCCAAAAATAAGCTTTTTACGTCAAGCAGTTTAAGCAGAATCGTGATTAAGAAATTACCCAACTTTTTGGAACACCCTGTATGATATTTTAAAAAATTTCAAAATATGTAAAGAAACCAAATAAATTATGCGTGTCCAAGCGTTTTTCCGAAAGACTAACCGTTTTTTAAATAACAAATATTGTAATATTTGGGGAGCGTTTTCACCCCCTTGGAATTTGAAATTCGAGAAACCCCTCCTTATCGAACCTCTACACCCCACAGTCAATCCGTTTGCCAAAAATCAGCTTTAAACGTGAAGCAGTTTAAGCAGAATCGTGATTACTCAATGGTCATATTTTATGAAACACCCTCTATAAATTTTTAAAAAATCTTAAAATATGTAAAACAACAAAATAAAATATACGTGTTTAAGAGTTTTTCTCTTAAAAATGATTGTAATATTTGAGGGGTGGTTTCACCCCCTTAAAATTCGAGTTTCAAAAAATCCCTTCTTATCGAACCTCTACACCCTAAAGTCAATCCGTTTTCCAAAAATCAGCTTTTTACGTCAAGCGCTTTAAGCAGGATCGTGATTATTCAATGACCAGATTTTTCGAAACACCCTGTATACATTTTTAAAAAATCTTGAAATATGTAAACAGCAAAATAAAATATACGTGTTTAAGCGTTTTTTCGGAAACTTGACCGTTTTTTAAATAAAAAATATTGTAATATTTGAGGGGTGGTTTCACCCCCTTGGAACTGGAATTTCGAAAAATCCCTTTTTATCGAACCTCTACACCATAGAATCAACCTGTATGCCAAAATTGAGCTTCTTCCGTTGAGTGGTTTGAGCAGGATCGTGATTAATCAGTATGTCAGTCACTTAAGGATTTTATATATCAGTATAGATTTATATTTTATATCTGTTTGGTTTAAAACGCCCTACGATGTTTTCTGATTTCCAGACTTCACTTCTCTCTGTCTAGCCGTAGGTCTTGTTCTATATTTCCATGTAAATGATCCCAAGTCGACAGGCTGGCTATAAATAAGTTGTGACTATAATCATAACAATTCACTGTCTAACTAAAAATATTTTAGTTCTATCGCTGCCTACATATCTATAACGATAAGTATCGATATTTATCATCTAAATGCCCATTCTTACTAAAAAACCGACGTTACAGAAGCCGATCGTGACGTAAATAAAATTTTCGTCGTTTGTCCATCGAACTAGTTCTCCGTTGGAAAGTCCATTATCATGTAATGGACTTAGAGAAGGTGTCAACTTCGATAGATACTCTCGCTAGGGAGAGGTAATTTTAAATTTTTAATTGATTTTTTTACATAGTTTTATACAGTTTAGAGAGAACAAAAGCTATTGGCTGACGTTCGGGGGGCAATCTATGGTAATTATGTGCCGTTGGGAGTTCCAAAAATTAAAAAAAAAACGACCCATTTGCAATGAATGTTTTTTTAACTACTTTCTTCAAACTAGGCTAGCGACGTGAAATGAGACTTGCGCAAGATCAAGACAAAGACCCAGCATGCAAAAACTTTGCGGTCTTGTTTTTTTAACGTTTTTAGGGTTTATTGTACCGGGTGGCCAACTAAGAATGGACGCCGGCTCTATCTTAGAAACTACTTATCGTATAGCTTTGGGAAAAAATTGTAATAAGTAAATCGGCCAAGAGAAATCGCTGGAAATTATTTTCAAGTTCCCCAAAATATGCAGGTAAAGACGTATTTTAAATATTACTATTGTAAATTGTGTTTTTTTTTTTTTGGTTTTTCATATTTAGAGTATGTATATTCATACTTTTGTTTCGATCTTGCTAGAAGCAATCCAGAAATGGCTCTGAATGCCTCTTCTTCAATGTCAGAGGGAATACTTTCCGAATCGCTCATTTTTTAAACTAGTGACATCAATATTATTTACTGTCATATTGACATTGCCATGCATGGTGTTATCTGAACAAAAGTACTAAGGTAATTGATTTTTAGAATAGGTTTCCACGGAATATTGGGACACCCTGTATAGGTACTTGTGTCTCGCTTACAGGAGAAAAAAAAGTAATTTAACATTTTTAATCATCTTTTTTTTTCAAAATAGTTTTGGAGCTTGTTTCCGTGCAGGAATTTGCAGGACATATTGGCCCGTTGCGGGTGTTCTAAAACTAATCGATAGCCATTGGCTTGGAATGTTCGAAACTTGATCAGATTTAATTAGTCGGAAGCATTAGAGTGATTGTGGAGGAAATTGCATCTCATATTCAACGCATATACGTTACAAATTCTGTCTCGCATCGATTGGCCATTTACTGACCATGTTTTGAGATTATACAGGGTGTTTCAAAAAACATGTGCCATCTCTCGTGGGGAGTTTCCTTACGTAAAAATAAGATTTTTATTTTTCATATCAACATATAGTATATTCGTTGATTGAAAGAGTAACTAAACCTAACCTAACGAATTGTTTCAATCAACGGCATATTTAACAAAACTTTGGTTGCACGTCATCAGTAACACCATGCGTCGTCTTATGGAGTGGTCGTATTATGATGCGCAACCAAAGTTTTGTTAAATATATTATAGGTCTGATCCAAAACGCAATAATTATTAATTACAATAATTAATAAAATTAAAATAAGAATAAAATAATTTTGCAATTCAATTTTAATTTCTTGTTGTTTCAGAGCTGGAGAAGAGGATTCCTCTTGCAGCGCAGACGACTTACTGCGCAGAGCTGGAGGAGCTCCAAGAATTGCTCCATTTCCCTGAGGAAGTCGCTTTGCGTCTCGCCGACACAGAGTACCAACTTTTCTACCAGGTAGGCAATCTAAATTCGATTATCTACAAACAATTAAAACAGTCATTGAAAAAACAACTGAATACAATATACCGCTACATTTGGCCTTTCTAGACTACCAAAAAGCTTTTGACAGCATCGAGACACACAGAGAGCGAGAATTGATTCCAGATATTATTCTATTATTAAAAATATCTATGATAGTGCAACCTTCCAAGTTAAATTAAATGATGACCTCAAAACAGAAAAAATACCACTCGGCAAGGGCGTGAGACAAGGAGATACCATCTGTCCCAAGTTATTTACACTGGCACTGGAAAATGTCTTCAATAAATTAGAATGGGAAAATAGAGGTCTAAACATCGATGGGGTACACCTTAGCCATCTTAGATTCGCAGACGATATTGTCTTGCTGAGCACCGACATTCAAGAACTGAACACCATGCTAAAAGAGCTAAATGACCAATCCCAGAAAATTGGCTTTAAAATGAACTTGAAGAAGACCAAGATAATGAGCAACAATATCCATAACATTACCGTAGACAACGTTATTATTGAAAACGTAGACCATTATATATATATATTTATGTTATAAAATCAAGCTGGGTAAGGAGAACCAAAATACGGAGATCAAACGCAGGATCCATTTGGCATGGGTAGGATTTGGAAATATGTGCCCTCGATTACGTACACTGAAAAAAAGGATCTCTCTGTCGAAATGAATATGACTTTGACCCAAAAGATTGGCGCTTTTCAATAGGGCCAAGAACGACGTTTCTTTGCCCAAAGCATTAACTATCTTTTCATAAGCTTTAAAAAATTACTTTAGAGAATAGAAGAATCTATCTGTCCAAAGTATTTCACTCTTGACCGAAAATTAATATGCAAATAAGTTCTTGCTACAAGAACAATAGTCTCTTTGAATCATACAAAAATTCTTGATTGAAAAGGGAAATTTCTTGATTAAAGAGATACTTTTCTTAAACCAATAGCGAATACCATTGACTCAACTAAAATTTATTTAGATCTAAGAGAAGTCTATACATCATATACAAGCATATACAGGCATATTACGAGGTATATTATTTTCTGATAAGTTTACGTTTTCCTAGTCTGTAAGTAAGTAAAGTGATATTATTTTCCTCGATAGTAGGTAGTTATCTCTGCTTCTTCATTCCTTGGTATTTTTTGGGGTGGTTTATCACTCTACAAATTGCAAAAAAATGTTACACCGCGATTAATCAAAGTAAAGCAAACAAATTATTAAAATTATAAGCTTTGGTCACATTTCGATTTTTTTAATACGACGACTTGAAATTCTAAAATTTTTGTAATTATTTGCATAAAAAAATCGATACCTATATTCTTATTCTATCTGTAGTCACGCATGCATTATCTATACAGGTGCATTAGGTAAATGTCTCTTACCTTCAGATATAGCAAATAAATGCTCTAATTTCCATTTTTTTCAGAAATTCCTTTAAAGAATCCATATATCCTAAAATTTGTCCATAAAAAATGACAAATGCATGTTAATAACGATCACTAATTTGTTATACGATATGCGTTTAAAAAGCAAATTATGCAAAATTCCAAGTGGAAAATTCCAAGCAACAAAACCCGTGCGTACTATGATCTGACCTATGAAATGCGACTTACGACTGATCGGACTGCCGACTGATTGTATATACCGTCCTTCGTCATCGTCTTTGCGTGTCGTTATTATTTTTCATCAAAAGAGTATTTAGCTATTGGAAAAATGGCCATGTTTCTTGAAGTACTTTCTAGCGCATTTTTGTTATCTTAAAACAAAGTAACTTGCACTTGGTTGAATGAAAATAGATTCAAGAGAAATTTTCGAATTTTTCAAGAGAACAAGTTTTCTTGAGTTAAGAGAGTTTTTCTTCAGGCAAAATATTTTTACGCTAAAATAAATTCTCTTGCCACTAAATTTTTTTTTTCCAAGATTGATGACGACTTTAGTTCAACTATCTTTTTTATCAGTGTAGCAGTATTTATAAAATAATGACTTGACAGATTCATATATAAATTTTGTTACACTATGAATTAATCCAAAAAAAAATTAACCTGTACAGTTGTACAAATATAGGAAGAGACTTGGGGATAGCACCGGTCGCGTGTTATTTTATATTTCTCACGTCTCTAGCTCTACTTGTTACGTTGTACCTATAAATCATACCAAATAAACTTTTAGTCACGTGATTAAGCTTGACTGGCACAGCGTTGCCCACTTTTACGTATTTTCATTTAATCACAGTATTTTAGGAAACAAAAATAAATTAATTATAAATCTATAAACAGTTATTATTTACATCAACAAAATTCAACCCCTAACAGTACTTAAAAGGGTCATTACTACCACTATCCCGTTTAAAATATTCCAATAAGGCTGCGATGAGTTTTTTTGCAACGGCTATTAAGCGTCACAGAAAATAATTCAAATTTATTATTGCCAATACTTTTTGAGACACAACGCCGTACTAAAAATGGTTGGATGTAGAGCCGTCACGTATATGTCTCTAGTTTTAAAGCAGGACCGTACCGAATGGATAAGATGGGCTTGATGGTTTCGATCTGGCCAAGTAAGTGATTAATCATGTTTCGGTCGAGTGGTAGGACGAGATAAAAGGAGAACCGAAAGTTTGGAGAACTCCATAGGGAGATTTTGGCGGATGTATAGATAAAAAGTTGGAAAAAAGGTCTCTCGGAATAGATTTGGGAAGTATTTTGTATGAAAAATGTTCCAGCGATGAAATCGTATTTCTATATTGTTAAGTTTATGAATATTGAATATGTTAGAAATAAGTAAGTCATAAGTATAGCCTCTAGTAGGGGGTTTAATTTAATAATTTTTCTTTAAAAAAATTCGGAAAAATTAAAATATGTAAAAAATAATTGGCTAGAAGACATAAATGAAATAAAGGAAAAGAAATAAATTGATAAAAATAATTATAAAAGTATATAAATTCACTCTAAAGGCTCCCACAGACGCTCGGTTATTTCGCACAGGCCGCCAGGCATATTGACCCGTGTGAGAACCTCAGTTGGCCTGACCCTAACGAAATCAGGCCTCCTCGAGATTCGTGGTTTCAATTAGTAGCCAGTTGTATTATTAGTAGTCAGTTGTATCCATAGAGAAAGCCTAATAATGAGCTTATAAAACAGTGAATGTTTTTTCTAACCCCAATTTCTCTTGACGTATGATAATCAAGGGCCAAAATGACATTACTCGCAAATTTCTAAGTATAATTAGTGGAAAAAGTTAAAACTACTACCACGAAAATTACTACTACTAATTTTGAGGTTTTGAATTCTTACATTGAAATTAGTTTGTGAAATATGTCACTCACTAAAAACCGTCAGAAAATGTCTTTTATACTCCTTCACACTCAAGAATTTTTTAGAATTTTTTGAAGTGGTGAAACAATATGAAAAAAATTAAAAACTCATTTTTTTCTAAAATATTTTTGATTAGTTTAAAAAAGTGAGTAGAAAATATTTTTTCATTAAAAATACATCCTTAACAGAAATAAACATAAAGATTATTATAAAAAAATCAATCCGAGAAGATTTTAGAAAAAAAAATTAGAAAAAAATGAGTTTTTAATTTTTTTTCATATTGTTCCCCCACTTCAAAAAATTCTAAAAAATTTCTGAGTGTAAAGAAGTATAAAAGACATTTTCTGACGATTTATAGTGAGTGACATATTTGACGAAGGTTAAAAAAATGAAGATTTTAATTTTCTTTCCTCCGCTAAAAATCGGCTTTTCGCTTAAGAATCATGATCATGTTATTATTTCATGTCTTAGACTTGTAAGAATTGTAAATATAAAAATAAAATTTAAAAAACAGTTTTTTTTAAATCTCGAAAACCGTTTAAGTTAAAGAGCTAAAAATTTAGGTGAGTTATTTTGTTTCGACACCAAATCGAGCCGCTGAGTGCGAGTGAAAAAAGCCGCGGGGACAGATTTCCCATAAATATTAATCCTGCTATATCCTTTGTAGTGAAACTGAAAAATTAAAATTTACTTTTTGTGTTTTATTATAAAGAAAACTTATAAATTCAGATATTCAAAAGAATGCGACAGAACTACAACTAAACTAGAATTCAGATGAAATAAAAAAAAGTATGTGATCCGATTGCATTGATTCATAATTTGGGAATTTTCTTTCTGCTGCCGAATGATACTGGGACACGTAGCAAAATTAATTAAAATAACAATAAAAAGAATAATTGCATTTGTTGGCTAGATCGCAAAACCAGGTTATTTTTTCAATCAGATTTTTATTCCAGAGGACACACGAACAAAAAAATAGATCAATATTTTGTTACTATGGTTAATGAAATGAGGTAACAACATTTCTATAGGCATCATTATTTTCATGATCGATTTTACTTAATTTTTACTGAAATAAACTGATTTTAATTGTTTAAGCAAAATCTATGCGTCCGACGAAAAAAATCAAGAGATAAAAAATGTTTAGAAATTAATTGGAGATCTTGAAGATAATTTTTAGTGACCAGGTACCACTTTTTCTCCAAAAATATTCAATGAAAAAACCCATATGGACGGAACTGGTTGAAATAAATAAAATTCTTCGTACACCAAAAAAGGTATTTTGATTAGCGATGGGAACTATCGAATGAATTAGACTCTCGAATGGTTACTGAATGAATGATTTCAACTATCGAATGGTTTTATTCGAATTTTATTCGATTGTATACTAAAGCATATGTGACAACCTCACCGTGCGACTAAATGGTTATCGTTGCGCCACGACTATCGAATGCTTTTGATAAAATAAATTAAATTTAGTATTCGTTTGATTTTTGTGTGTGCCAGTGCGTTATTAGTTCTTCCAAATTTTTATAACTTCGCCTTGTAAATACTATACTATTTTTGCGTTTATTAAAATATTTAAAATACTAAAATAGTAGTTTTTTTTAATTGACGATTGTGTGCGAAGTGGTCAAAATTTTTCCGAAAATTTGTGTGAT